GGAGCCTCGGTTTCTTATTCAGGCGTATGCAGTAGTCCAAGAGCTTCTAGGCTTTACGAGTTTTCTCTGTCGGTGTCATGGCGGGGCTGATGCTGACGCTGATGGTGCTCATAGGAATAATGGTCTTTTAGCCCGAGCTCCTGTTCTTTGGTGATGTTGCTGGCGTCGCTGAGACGCTTGTGAAGTACAAGTTGTTCGAGCGGCTTCGATCAAGCGTTGCGTCTTGGTGTGATGGGCATTGATTGGCTGCTCTTCGAGTGGGGCGGTGAGGACTATTGCAGATATGCGAAAGAGATGGTGGAGGATCCGGCTACCTGTTGATGGGCGGGTTGGCGTTGGCCCCGGATCCAGCGTTGAAGAGGCTCGGAGGGCACCTCCGGCCGATGTTCCTTATCGGGCGAGATCCAACCTTTTGGGCTTGGTGGCTATCGCAGTTCATTAAGGCCTCCTGACTAGGGATTTCTTCAAGCGTCACCATATGTAACAATTTCCGGTGCTCGCCTTCTCCGGCGACGGTGAAGGTCGTGGGTGCTTGATAGTTTCGGCGAGGATGGTATGCAGCAATACAACCGCTTTTACCTTCCTTATTTTCTATTGCTTGTATGCCTTTCATCTCTGTATCATTACTATTATAATTGAAAGCAATCAATGCCTACAGGTGTAAATTTCAGGGGGGGGGGGATAACAACAGTGCGACAACCACGAACGAACGAACACAGCAAGCGAGCAAGCTAAAACACGAGAATGGGCTGGCTCATAACTACAAATACTTCAGGCGAGTACTTCTTCTATCTCGCTATAAGCGAGATATAACTCTCGCATATGTCGTCGTGCCTGTTTGCAGGTCAAAAGCACGCAATAAGCCGCCCAGCCCAAGAGCAATCCTCCACCACAGTGGTAGGCCAGCCCAACAACAGTTTCCTTCAACTTAGACCACCTGGCCCATCTCCCAGGAAAAAAGCCTAATTGACCCGCCTAACTATTTATTCCAAACTCCGCCGCCTGTTCGCCCGGTAATATAGACGGATGAATGGCCTCACTGTAATTGGACTTTTCCGGGTGACCGGGACCATGGTGTGCACTGTGTTTAGCTAGCGGCGCCAATTGAGCTTTCAGCTTCAAAACAAAAGGATGTCTAGCTTTCTCGTAATGTATGCACTCATGCAGGTGCAGCTGAGAGCAGAGCCGGCCGGCCGGTCGACACGCGTTCCTCACCCGCCCGACACAGCGCAAACACATGCACGATCATCGATCCCCGATTAATCATTACCCATTAATCTCGATCGTCGATACATAAACCTTGTCACGCCTCAACAACACTTGATTAATTAAGCATGTACTGCACTGCACGTACTCCTATGTCAACTGTCGACTCTAGTACATCTCCGGAGAAAGTGACAAGGGTGACTTCCACTATACGCCCCACTGGTTGGTCAGCACCCCAAGAATACCACTCCAAGATTAATGTAGATGCAACTGTAGGCCGGGGAGGTCGCTATGGTTCAGTTGCTACAATTTATTGGGAGGAGGATTCCTGGAAGCATCTGCTATGGTGTTCAACTTGGGCGACCCAACCACGTCGGAGACATGTGCAATTCGAGAGGGTTTCTCCTTCGCAATGGATTTAAACCTAGACATGATATGTATGGCGTCCGACTGCAAGGAGGTGGTCCAGGAGATCAAGAGGGGAAGTGCAGCCATGTATGGAGCAATTATTCGAGAGATCAATCAACAAATTTCTTCTTTTACTTTGTGTTTTTTAGATCATGAGTTTAGGAGCTTAAATGTCGAAACTCATAACTTAGCGAAACATACTTTAACTCAAGGTTGTCTCAGAAAAGGAAATTCCCACTGACTCATCATCCGAAATTCCGAATCATCATCATGGTTCAACCCCGTGAGTTGGGCTGGCCCTTTGTATTTTTTTTGAGAGTTTGTATAGGGGTTCCTTTGTGCTCCGCTGCTAAAAAGCCCGGCCCGTGAGATGGGCTCTACCAGACATCGTGGTTTCCTTCGGCCACCTCAAGGCTCCAGCCACCCACCAGCCGCCCGGCCCTACTCGGACACCGCCGCCGCCGCCGGCGCACCAGGCGCTCGCTTACCATCCTCCCCCAAACCCCGGCGCGGCATCCTGTCGGCAGGCTGGTGCTCGTGCGCCGGCAACGGCTGCTGAGGGGCTCAGACGAGGCGAGGCGGAGCGGGCGAGAGAGCGCGATGGCATCGCTGGGGCGGCTCAAGTCCGCCATCTTCGACAGGGAGGAGAGGAGGATGTAAGGATCTCGTCGCCTCCCTCTCTTTACCTTCTTCGATTTAGTACTCGTCGATTTAATCTGATTTCTTTCTGCTCGAATCGGCTATAAAAAACCTAGCTTTTTTTTTATTCTAAATAAATTCCGTGTTGTCAAGACTGTTAACGAGAAATGCTCACATGGTTAAGTACTTTTAATTCTCGAGGATACAATCCTCACATGGTTTACTACTTTTAATTCTCGAGGATACACAAACTAATCTCCCTGCACAAGTAATGCTGTGTTTTACAATCTTCTGCACGGTTTACTACTCTTTTTTTTTATCTCGGTCATATGCAAAGTAATCGTGTCCGCGAACTGTAATTTACTTCTTGGCCCATAATTGCCCTGTACAAGTTAGATTAGCCTGGTGTGCTTGTGGTTCATAGGCTGAATTGTTGCTTCACGACTCTGGATGTGGGATTCATGGATGCAGGCAGTACCAGTCGCACATCCGGGGGCTCAACGCGTACGATCGCCACAAGAAGTTCATGAAGGATTATGGTATGATCTGCTGCTGCTGCTGTTGTTTCCTGCAAAAGCATGCTCTTATTATCTTTGCCCCAATTTTTTCTGATTGACTCTGGATTTGTGTTGGTTATGGTTGATGAAAATGGGTTTTTGAATAAAATAGCATGGCAACGAGATCACGAGTTAGGTAAACCAAATTATACTTGGTGGTGGGGGTTCAAAGAACAGGCAAAATTTGTAACTTGCAAGTCCACTAAAAACTTGCATTTCCGATGTAACTACGCATACAAAATTGACCCTGCAAACTTCTTGTCCTTGTGTTATTACTAAAATTAGCTCAAGTGCTGACCTCTGTATGGAATTAAGCATCCAACACACCACGACTACTATATATGCTTCTGGTTTTGTAATTGATCACAACCATTCATTGTGCTGGTGAGCCTGCTTTAGAGTTAGCTTTAAGTCTAATGTATTTGTACCTTGTCTCAATGGTGAAAAGGAAACTGGGGCAGTGGCATATAATGAGTCATTTATTTGCTTAGTCTTGGTTTCCAAAAGGAACTGAATGTTGAACAGTCCCCTCTACTTAAGGAATAATTGGGGGCTACCTTCATCCATACATGGATTTTGTATTTCTATGTGTAACTTGTCACCTAGCTTAATACAGACAACATTCTAATATGGATTTTTAATACAGGATTTATATTTTTTGCCCAATGTTAACCCATAGACAGGGCACATAACGACTCCCCCTTTTTGCTGATTGATTCTGGAGCTGTGTTGGTTAAGATATTTATTTGTGGTTGAGCAAAATGGTTTGGGAATAAAATGGCATGGTAATGAATCATGAGTTAGGCAAGCTAAATTCTAATTGGTAGCACTAATAGTGTGCTGAACACGGAGGGACATGTGTAAGTTGTAACTTTCAAGTATGCAAAAAACAGTTGCAGTTCTGCTGTAACTTCACATACAAACACAGCCATCGATTCTCCAAAATTGATCCCGCAGCCTTCTCGTGCTCCTGTTATTGCTAGTTATCTAAAATGCTGAATTCTGTGTGGAATTGAGCAACCATCACACTAGAATCTGGTTACCTGTGTATTCTGCCATTGTAGTTGATTACAATCATTCAGTGTGCTTGTGAGCTTGCTTTAGTAGTACCTTAAACTGTGATATATTGTTACCTTGTCCCGATGATTGAGTTGCCCTTTCATAGTGAAATGGAAACTGGGGCAATGGCATATAATGAGCTATTTATTTGGTCAGCCTTGGTTTCCCAAAGAAACTGAATGATGAACAGTCCCCTCTACTTAAGGAACAATTGGGGGCTACCGTCATCCATACATGGATTGTGTATTTCTACTATAACTTGTTACCTAGCTTAATATAGATGAACATTCTAATATGCATTTTTAACATAGGATTATGTCCTGGTCTCCAATATATTGATAACCAGTCCTGTGCAATGGTGCATTTTTTTTTTTTGCCAAATGTCAGCACATAGATAGATCAACACTTCATTGCCGAACTTTTTTTTAATGCATCCCTATCTCACAAATAGTGGAATGAAAGAATAGACCCCTTCGTTGTAGAAAGAATTGGAGATCAGACACTCAACATTACAGTTCTTTTAACCTTAGCGTACATGATATCCATCATTCATTTTCTGTGTGCCACTGATATATGTCTTTACCTTTCAACAGTTCAGTTTTATGGCCATGAGAAAAATGTGGATAACAGTCTGCCCATCAAAACTGATAAGGATACATTGAGAGAAGGATACAGGTCTGAACCACATCCTATTAACATATGCCTGTGGTTTTAGGAAACTCATAATTTCATAAATGCCTCACTTTTCTTCTTCTATCATTTGAAAGGTTCATTCTTTCCGAGGAAGATGACATGGATTCAACTTGGGAGAAGAGGCTGGTCAAACGTTACTATGACAAGCTTTTTAAAGAGTATCCATTTTTAGTATATTTTATATTGCATTGTTCTTTCTATGAGGACATGTCAGTACATGGCATATTTTTCAGATATTTTTGTGAAATAACAAGTTCATGTATGCTGATGCTAATGTCATTACATATAGTTATTTAATAGTTTGGTAACGTAAATAGGCATAAGGCATGTGAATGTACCTTAAACCTGTAAAGGGCATATATCTCTTGCTGTCCTCTGTATTGGTATGCTCTTCTGCATGAAGACTTAAGTGCTTCATGGTTTCACCTCAGTGCCTCATGAACTTGTGCTTTCTGTCAACCAGTATTGATCATTGCTTGTATAAATGGGAGCTGTATTTGATGTGTGTGCCGTTCTTTGTAACTTTGTAAGACTTAATTATAGTGTGCTTATGGTCCTTAACTTGAGGCAGGTATTGCATTGCTGACATGACCCAGTATAAAAAAGGCAAGGTATGGTGCTTTAACCCTATGTCAATGAATAATGTTTCTTGATGTAAACATGTAGTTTCTTCTTTAGTCTTGAATCATATACAAAAGGAAGAATGCATGACATGACTTTTGGAGAGACATCTAAAGGCAACAATAGTGTCCTTCCAATTGTGACTCTTGTGACCTTGATGAATTCATATTTCATAAAATTAATGCACAGGCAGGAATAACTAGAAATTGTTCTTTTGGTTGTGGATTTACATCAATGTGCATATTGCAAGAACCATGTTTGCCAACCTGCCCATTTTTCATATTATGTTCTGGCAGGCACACACAAACACTGATTATCCTTGTAACGCAGAAGTGAACAACTATTAACGATATGGCAGTCGTGCATTTTCAGTGGCAGGATGATGAATGGATGCCCAACCAGTTTTTTTCCCCTTCTAAAATCATCTGTAGTTTTGGATATGAATCCCATCTTACAATGGTATATTCTCCTGCAGATTGGATTGAGATGGAGAACAGAAAAAGAAGTGATATCTGGCAAAGGTATTCTTAAGCAATCCCATCTATTAATTTCCATCTAAAATAATTTCTCTGAAAAGTATGACTGAACTTAAATTGTATGAGTATTCTGTTGCTAGTAACAGACCATTCAAACGGAAGTCTAGAACTTAAAAGGGTATTTAAAGAAATTGTAATTAAAGGTTACTGAGCTTAAAGCTTTATTTCTTTACACTATTAGGCATACTTTTCTTTTATTTAGCTGCATGTCAGAGAGCAGTTGGGGTGCTTGCGCCAAATTACCACCAAACTCAAAAACAAATCATAACTGAATCTCTAGATTTTGGAAGCCATCATTGTAGTTTTCTTTTCTAATTCTACTAAGGTGTTAGACAATACAGAGTTTTTTTTCTTCTGAAAATTGTCTGTTTGCTCAAACAGTTGTTCAGAATCAATACAAAATCTTTAGCAATGGTCCGAATATGCTCTTTTGCAGGGCAATTTATCTGTGGCAATAGGCATTGTGATGAAAAACATGGGCTAGGTAGTTATGAGGTATGTTCTTGACTAAAGTCCTATTGCTCATGCTAAAATGTGTAAAACACAGAACACATTTTATAAAGAACTGTTTCAGCTGTATTTGTAGCACTTACATTTTTCTCTTATCATTTTCAGGTGAATTTTTCTTATGTTGAAGCAGGGGAGCAGAAACAAGCACTAGTGAAGCTGGTAGCTTGCAAGGGGTTAGTGAATCCACTGTTCCATAATAGGATTTGTTTGAAGCAGATTTGGCACTGCTCTTTCTTACCATGATAGTTATATTTCTTTAACTTTTCCTTGGACCACTTTTTCTTGCTTCGTCTTTTGTGCTTTCATTTTGTTCAAGCAAGTGCCCAATTGATTATTTAGCCTGATTGGTACATTATGAAAGATGTGCAGAAAAGCTTGCTTATAAGAGGCTGAAGGAGAAAGAGAAAGAGAAGCAGGAAGATCCCTACGGTGAAAAGGAAATTGAGTTGAAAGACAGGGACAAGAGAAAGAGGTATCTTAAGTTCTTGTTCTTGTCCAACCCCATTATTTTGTTGCACTACATTCTTTGACTCTGTTCAAACTGCAGAGAACATGAAGAAAGTGATGATACCTCTGAGGATGAGGCCAAGAAAGATAGAAGAAAGAAAAAAGGTACAGCTGATTGGATACACCTTTTATATTGGTCATGTGCTTTGTTGGGTTGGGGGGTAGGGGTCTAATGCTTAGTTAATGGCTTGCTTGGCTACTGCACTCCTAAGGCGGCCGAATCTCAAACAGGGTTTTTATAACATCCCCGTGGCCTATTGGCACCATCCTTTTTCCTGAAATCCGAACAGCACTTTTCAAGATATTTGGCACCTAAATGTTCAGTTAGCATGGGCCCAGGTCACGGCTGATCTCGGGCCTTGTAAATAAGGCCTATTTGGAACACAGATCTTGTGTTTATTCATGTACGCAAATGTCATGGCTCTGTGCTCAGTAGAACATATGCCTGCATTGGGCTGACCAGAACCTGCAACAGCCTTGGGCTTTGTCGATTATTCTGTGCTCATGCATGCATCTTGTGTTTGTTTATTGGGGATTTAGGGATGCCATAGATTCCAGTGGCATGAAACTTACTCTTGCAAAGATGCTGCAGATCGGAAGGGAGCTTCTTCAAGGAGTTCAGGAAACAATGATGAAGGTTTCGAAGAGTTCCTCGAAGGCATGTTCCCATGATCTGGTTATCTTTGTGGCTACAAAAAGTTGTTCCATGCTCTTTCAGGGTAAAAACAAGCACGGATCTTGTAACAATGCCATTATTAGTGGAGTAGCAAATCGTTGCAAATCCGACCCTTGATGTGCTTTGACTACAAGTCAATGTAGGTGCGCTATCTGTAATTATGTGTGCCCGTGTTGTTTGATTTTCACATGGCTTTTGTGGCTGTGGCTGTGAGAGATGCCCGTTACTCTGTTAGTCAAAGAAAAGATGAATGTAACTACTCGTGGGTGTACGTCTACTTTAGTGTTACACTGAAGGAGTGAAGGACAATTTCAGCAACATTGACTTGTGTATCTATGTCAGTGTTCTGGCTGGAGAGGTTCGGTGATGAACTTGTGTATCTATGTCAGCTAGCCTGCCTAATTTCAACCCAAAAAACAGTAGTTGATATTACATTTGCATTATACCTCGGCAGTTGAAAATAAGTAAATTGCTTGCAGCATCCAGTTACTTATTTCTTATTAAGCAAAAGAAAAGCACAACTCTGTAGAAACAGATGGATGAAAGTGCTGGAGATTGTCGCGTGTGAAGGGAAGAAGCTTCTTTCCATCTTGGGTAATAAGAAGTGAACCATATCTCGAGATGAAGCTAATTGATTCAAGATCATGTGAAAGAGGATGTCTGGAGATGGTTGAGAAAAGTGGAACTGAAATTGTGCAGTGTCAGTGCTAATTTCTATGGCCACAAAGGTACATCCGGTCTCCTATATCTATATGCATAACCTTAGTCTGGAAACAGGGGCAGTGGTCACGGATGATGCTTGCAGAATTGGCAATCATCCAATGCCCAACCAAAACTGAGAGCATTGCACTTGACAAATTGATACCCTGGATCGGATGAATAACAAGATGCTGTAAGGAGGAAACCTTTCAGCACATGTTGATTTGCTTGAGTGAAGAGCTGCCAGCTTGTTGGGAATGTGAGGGACTGCAAGGTATTGGTTAGGTCACCAAGCTGGACGGCCGACGAGCTGATATGCCGGGCCCCCGCAGAGAACCAGCGTAGTTGTTTGTTGCAGCACCTTTCATCCATGAGAAGCTTGAAGATTGACAACGGCAGAGAAATGGAGGCTTTACCAGATACGTATTCACATTCCTGGAGGCTTGCAACGGCGTTCTGCTTGTTCCTTCCTGTTGAGCCACCGCTAATTGTTCATCAGACAGTCGCTAGTTGATCTTGAGGCTCGTCAGTCTAATTGTGACAAGGACATATATATCCACGTACAAAGTCATGATGCATGTAGAGTAATCCACCATGCACACACGGCCTTTATTTCTGATATTCATTGTACTGTCATGATTGAAAAAAAAACATGTAGACGCAGCCCGGCCGCTGGAACTTGAGAGCTTGTCGTACGTGCTTAATTAGGCAAATAATTTTTCAAGCATCAGCCAACACGCACGAATGTTTTTGCATTGTCAGCAAGGGGTTGGTGTGTGCGTTGATGCGATTATGTCCTAGGGTGTCGTCTTTGGTTGCTTGGGCAGTAGGGTTGTCAGCTTCCTTGGGAAACTCGACCACGGGATCGGTGTGTGTGTGCGTGTGTTGGTGTGGAGTAGCGGCTCAGTTACATATGGTAGGGGTGTCACCTGTGGCTGCTTGGACGACAAAGTCGTTGGCTCGCTTGGGGTATCGACTTTTGGTCGATTTTTCTTATAAAGTGATCAATTCACTGTCATGCGAAAATACGTACGGTCTTTTAAAGTATTGATTCGACACTTTCTCGGCATGAAGATAAGCGGCGAAACAGACCATATCAGGTATCATTTGCTCCATTTTTTTTGCCTCAAATTGTATCGCCTTTGGTTGGTGTTTTCTTTTCTTGATTTTGAAAATAACATGTTTGAAAAATGATAAACTCCAAAAGTGATGAATCCCCAAATTCCGTAACTCTACCCAAAAAAAAAACTCATGCACATTCAAGCATGCGTGGTACCCAGCTAATTTTTTTTAAAATAATACATTTTTCTTATTAATTTACAGAAATATGCATGGTTTAGATATATTACACAAATAATACGGCGTCATTTTGGGGCAAGACGACTTGAACTAATCGTCCTCCTGTAAGATGATTAGTACTAGTCATCCTTCCTCAAGATGATTACCACTAATCGTCCTCCATCAAAATGATTGAAACTGGTCGTCTTCCCTCAAGATAATTGAAACTAGTCATCCTTCCCCAAGATAATTGGTTCTGACTTATGTTGTTGCTTCTTCCACCTTCAATGCAAACCTGAGAAGTTTTTTCTGTATTTCCTCAAAGGTCCTTGCAGGCCATCCACACCTACTTAATGCGTTAAGCAACTTATTCAATATGGTGTCACTATTGATGAGTTCGTCCCATTAAACTATCCTATTCTCTATCTTGAAATTGCTGGCTAACCTCAGAAGACATTTCGACATAGTCGGGTGGAAATTGCTGGCTAACCTCAGAACTATCCTATTATAAAAAAGTGTTGCGAAAAATTAGTCCAGGCTGAAGTGAGGACCAATCATCTTGAGGGAGGACGACTAGTGGGTAATCATGTTGAGGGAGACTGACTAGGACTAATCATCTTACAGGAGGACGATTAGTTCCAGCCGTCTTGCCCCAAGACGACGCTATATTATTTGTGTAATATATCTAAACCGTGTATTATTTCTGTATAAATTAATAAAGACAATGTATTATTAAAAAAGTAGCTGGTATCCAGCATAGCATCCCATTTCCTCGGGGTAAAAAAAAGAGTTCGGCATTCACATTCGCCGTCCAAAAGAGTCAATTTTCCTCAGCCGCTGTCCTCCGAGAAGCTTGTCGCCGCCGGCTGCATCTCCGCCGCCCGTCGCCGCCTAAACTAACCAAGGTACTACCTTTCCTGACTCACCACGGCGAGGGCGAGGTCACCACCGCCGGCTGCTACCCGGATTGATTTTCCTGAGCCAGACCGATGATATCCTCTCCCCAATTTCAGATCCACCCGACCTTACCTGTCCCCTGCCGAGGCCCTCCCGCTTCCGATCCATGGAGGAGGCGGATAAAGGGGAGGTCTTGGAGAGGAACACCAAGTCGAGGCTGGACAGCCATCCGGGGGCGACGACCGGCCTGCTCACCGACGATCTCATCCTGGAGATCCTCTCCCGCCTTCCTGCCAGATCCGTCCACCGCTTCAAATGCGTCTCCGTCCCCTGGCGCGACCTCATCGCAGACCCCGCCAACCGCAACAAGCTGCCTCAGACCCTTGCCGGCTTCCTCTACACGTCTATCGGCGGCGGGAATCGCCACCACTTCGCCAGCGTCTCCGGCAATGGCGCAGCCCCGTTCGAACCTTCCCTCCCTTACTTGCAGCCTAACAAGGACAAGGGCATGGTCCAGGTGGACGCCTGCAATGGCCTCCTTCTCTACCTAAGCTGCAGCAAGAACATGGTGAACCCTTGGGCTTGGGCAGAGGATGATTGCCGTTTTGCGGTGTGCAATCCGGCCACTGGGAGGTGGGTGGAGCTGCCCCCTCAACCGGAGGCACCCGCAGGCAGATATAGATACAACTGTATGGCAGGTCTGGCTTTTGATCCGGCAGTCTCATCCCATTTCCACGTTTTTTGTTTTGAGAAGACCTCTGTGGAAACGTACAAGACAGGAGTGAACATCTACTCGTCGCAAACAGGAGCCTGGAGTCGCAGAGATGGTGGGATTGCTGAGAAAGTGGTGCTGTTCTTCTATAGCAAGGGTGTCTTTCTCAACGGTATGATGTACGTGATTGGCAACCCGAACGGCATCAGCAACGAGTATGCACTCCTGGGGATGGACATGGAGGGCAAAGTGCGGAAGACTATCCCTATGCCATACGGTCGAAGATTTGGTGCGATTGGATCGTCGCAGGGGTGCTTACTCTATGGTGTAGCTTCCGTCGATGATAACAATAAAACACTAGATTCTGAGACAGAACTCTGGTGCCTCAAGGATTGTGACAGTGAAGAATTCGTTCTGAAGCACACTGCCAGCATCGATGAGCTTATCAGCATGACTGGGGAGAAGTACAGGGTGGCTGGGATTCATCCAGATTGCGACACCATTTACCTGGTTTCACGTGGAGGTGATACCATGGTACCGTATGATATGCAACATCAGAAAGTTGGCTGTATCCTTAATCTCGAGAAGAATACACAACGATTTCTACCTTATGTTCCTCTGTTCTCGGAGTCATTAGCAGATGGAGATGGGCAGTAGTTTTTTACCTTCAAACCACCCTTGTGCAAGAATTGGCTATTTTGTCGGCTGAAGTACTTGTTTGTGTACCTCTGAATCTGCCGGTATCATGCCGCTGAATTTTGCTGGTGCTCACACTCCTGCTTGGTTGATTTCCAGTTCAGAGCAATTGTTACCCTTTTTCTTGTTTACCTAGCACTGGTCGTTCTGGACATGTATTATTTCGGTGTGGCTAAATTATACTGTAATCGGTCATCCTTTCCATAACAGTCAGTTATTATGATTATCCTAAATCCTAGTGCAGATTGTGAACCTATTAGTGTACTCAAATGTTCAGACCGTTTACTGGTGTGATGTTTAGTTGAACTTATTCATTCAGTACTTTGGTAAAACACTGCCTTTTAGAAAGTATTTTTTTTTGCATATTTTCTGTAGCTAGTAAATTCAATATAGCTTTGGATCTGTTATTCACAGAGAAATTGCATCAATGTCGATTAAGTAAATTTGGAGTATGTACTCTTGTACAAATAGCAGCGTGCATGTGAATGATCAGAGTTTTTACTGACAATGATAACAACAATTTTATAGAGATGCAGCTTCATGGGCACACACAATATTTTTCTGTCAACACAACTGAATGAACCCAGCAAAAAAGGCCTCTTGCTGTGGTTGATTCATGTCCGCTGTGTTCATTTTTTTGGCCGAGTTGCTACCCTGTTTGAGTCGGCTCAACCGGCGTTGTTTCTGTATGTGTTTGTGATGTGATGATACCTG